TAAATCTTGACGCTAGTTCCTTGCAAAGCTTGTGAAGTCTTGTCCTCACCGCAACAAAGTGGCCTTGTTGTCAGTGCAGCTCTTCCCCTGCCAAGCCATGCTTGCTGAAAGCTGCTCAGAGCAGACTGATCACTGTCCCAGTGAAAGCCAGGGCTGGGTCTCATTTTATTTAACTATTTTGGGTATGTAGTCAACCTCAAAGTCCCCCTTTTTTTTTTAAAAAAAAAAAAAGGAAAAAAAAAAAAGAAAAAGAAAGAAACCCAGATCCTTCCATACTATGAAGAAATAAGTCACTGGAGCTGGCAACCTGGTACCCAGTTCAGGTTTCACTGCTGACAAGATCATAAATCCCAGAGGTCTGGGATTTGTTGTTTGTTTTGCTTTTTTTTTTTTTAAACCCAGGACCAGAAATTTGGATGGAAGACAGGGAACTGCTCTGGCAGCTCTTGTAGTAATTTCATTAGTACCACGACGTCAGTAATCACTTGCACTGCAGAAGATCCAGAGACAGCCCCTCTGCTTCCCTGTTTACAGCCCTAGCACATGCCTACAGAAATCCTCCACATTCTGTCCCACTTTAATACCCTCTCCTATTCTTAACCCAAGCTGGTCTTCTTATAGACTATTACTCAGCTGTGTACTCCCTGTTTTGGGCTGTCCTGTAGCCTTCTCCTGGACTGTTCCAGCCCCACAAGGCCAGCCAACTCCCCCTGACTAGAAATTTCAGAGAAAAGCAAGTAAGTGATCCACAAGCACCAAGCTTACCAGGAACTGCTGGGACATGGAGAGCCAGGACAAATCCCCTTTCCCTGGACAAAATATCCCTTAGGCTTGCATTCTGCTGCTTACAGCAACAGCAGCATCAGCCCCAGCTTGTACACCATGCTCACCTGGCAGAGGAGATGGAAAAAGCAAGGCAGCAGGGCTGGAAGAAGCTCTCATAGTCATCCTCTCCCAAACTGCTATCTAGAGAAGCAAAAGAAGAGTTCCTTCTCTAGGAGCTGCAGGAAGGTTCCAGAAACACATACCCACCTACCAATATAGGGCATCATCCAGAGCAGCTCCACCTGAGCTATGGGGCTGATCCCCATCACCTGCTCTCCTGGCCCACAGCTGTGTAAGGGCTTTTTCTGGTTAAACTTGGGAGTTGAGGAGAGAAATATCATTCATAACACAGCAGAAAGTCACATTTTAGAAAAACCTTCTGGGGTAAGGGCTGAGAGTCTTCTCCTTAGCTACAGGGGGTTATGGGAGGCAGGTACCTTGAGCAGCACACACGCCTGTCTTATGACTTGAATCAGCAAGTAAAGATGAGTCTCTTCTCAGTAACTTTATTGTGTTTCTCAAGCTGTTAAATCCCAGGTCTTGTCTGAGATGACTTGTTATTAATTTTTTTAAATTCAGGCATTGCCATGGCTTTGACATTCAAAAACTGCTCCTGCCCACCTTATTGTTTTGGTTTGTTTTCTTTCTGCTTTTTTTTATGGTGGCAAAAAAGAAAAGTCCTCAAGGGCTGGCTGAGCCTGGGGATTGGTGGGAGCGAGAGTGAGGAAAAACCTTGTCTGAGGCCCTGGAGCCAGCCCCAGCAAGCATAGCTGCCATAAACTCATGTTTTCAGCTTTAAATACTAGTGTGTTCAGATGGCCAGTGACTCTCCTTTAAATTCCCATCCCTCTTATAACATAGGAGAAGTATTTCAATTCTGAAACGACCTCACAAAATCCTCTGAGAATTTAAATAGTCAGAAAATATCCAGACTGGGCAATATGCAACAGGAATATGATGCTCAGGTTATTTTTTTTTGGAGGGTGGAGGTGGCTTTTCCAGCTAAGTCTGGGGATGTTGTTGTGGAGGAGAGCCAGCCTGGGGACTCTGGGTAGGACCAGAGGAATCCAGGCAGAGGAATGGTGCCAGGAGCCAGGCAGCAGAACATCAGCAACATTTGGAGTACAGAGACCACGTTTATATATTACATTCTGATTTTTCAGCTGCTAGAAAGCACAACTATGCCCCTGCAGGCAGAGCTCCCCAGGGCCAGGAGTGGATGCTGGTGGCTGTTGCTGCTGTCCTGTGGCTGTGCTGGGGACACTCGTGCTGCCTCCAACCTCCTCTGTGCCCCCAGGTAAGGGGTCTGCACCCCTGGCAGCTGTACTTCTTCAGCCCAGGCACATATTTACCATTTGTTGGCTGTGCACTCGCTCAGCATCTCCCAGAAAGAACACGCGGTGAGCCTGGCTTTGGAGGAAAACCCAAGAGAAGGAGTTCCTCAAGTACCAGGTTCATGCTGTGATGGGCACAGGGCTCACGCTGCTTTGGGTCTGTAAAGCATGAAACCTTTCACCCATGGATCCACACTGCTTCACCCAGGCAGAGCTGCTGTGTCCCCGCGGGGGAGGGATGCAGCACCCTGAGCACCCGGGTGCTCACTATCACCGTATCTGTGTGACACAGACATCTGCTGCTGATGCCCCAGCCCAGCCAAACCCATGCTGAACCTCGATGGGAAACACTCTGGCTCCCTTTTCCACCCTCAGGGAGCTCGAGAGTCCTGAAGCCACATCCAGAGCTGACAGCAACAGCAGGGCAGCTTTGCCAGTGGCCGAGGGAATGGCCAGGCAAGAGGAGATAGCAGCTTTTCTCCATCCTCCCCAAGGTTTGTCCAGCAGCAGCGGAGCCCCAATTTCTGCTCCATTGCTGATCATTAAAATGCATGATTTGAAGTAGAGAAAAGCATATTGAAAACCTTTCCACAGGCTTTATTTATAAATCACAGCCCCCCACATTAAATAAACTTAATTTAACTTGACATCCCATTAATGTGTGTCCTGGCACCACTGTGACTACATCGTCATGGCTGCAGGGCCAACAGTCCTTGTCACCACAACAATCTCTGTGGTTGGGCTGGAGAAGCTGTGGAAGTGGTGCTAAGCATGTCCCTGCTCCTTTGATCCTTCAGGTGCAGCTTCCAGATATTTCTTTTGTGAAAGATGGAAAAAAAAAATAAAGGAAAAAAAAGAGAGCAGGTGTCTCCTCTGAGATGCTGTGCTCCTACTTGGCCTCATCTCCAAGAGGAACCTATAACATGCTGACATTCATGCAGTGTCACCCCAGCAAGGGCTAAAAGCCATGTCTTCTTGACTTCAGAGGGGAGAGGAGGAAAAATGATATGAACTGAAGAAAAATCCCATCTCCCATGACATCAACCCAGAATGTCCTGCCCCTGCAGCCCTGCTCAGCCTGGCAGTCTGAGGTGGGATGGGGAGCTGCCTTGAGATCAACACCGCTGCAGTGGGAACACCAAAAGCAGCTTTACTCAGCACAAGGAGCTGCTACATGTGAAGTTTTTTGGTTTGTATTTTTTTAAAGGTTATTTAATGGTTTGAAGGGAGGTTTCCATTGCCACATACCTCACTGTAGCACATAGTGCTGAAAACACCTGCACCCTGTGAATAATTTGGACTATTTAAAAACGCAAACAGCAGAGAAAGAAACTCAAGGTGACCTCTTTTTTCTATCAGGAGGCAACTGTGCACTTCTGCCTTTCCTGCTGTGCCACGGAGGGCTCTGCATTATGTGTGACCCCGTGGCAAATGCCCTGGCTGGCACCGTGGCCTGGGGAGCCAGCCTTGGGTCCCACAGTGACACAATGGCACTGGCCACAGCTCCCTGCCTGCTGCTGGGTCTCCCCCAGGAGCTGACTGTGGCAGAAGCAACAAGAGGCATTTCTGCAGGAGCTTTACAGAAGCAGGACAGGGAATAGTGTATCCCAGTGGCTACTGCTTATTTCTCTCCTTGAACATCCCTTGACAAGACCAGACTGGAGGACCCTGGCCTTTCCAACACCTCTATTGCAGTTCCTAGCACAGGTTCTCATTCACCACTTCCAAGGACTCTCAGACGCCCAAATTATGCTGCAGAAAATGGATTAGTAGCGAGAAAAAAAAACCCCAGGAACATCCAAATGCAGCACTTGACCTTGCTTCTGTCCCTCCAAACTCCTGGCAGATGTACCAAGAGTTTGAGGCTGACTGTGCAGTATCCCCCTCCCCCCAACCCATCCTCCACAGCGCAGCCAGGTGTGACAGTCACAAATGACCAGAATACATCTTGATCCCTCCCAAAAATGTAAAACAACCTGAAACAGGAACTCCAAGAGCAGGAATTTATGTGCACAGATTAGGCTGGGGTGGTGGGTGTAATTGCATCTCATTTGGCTGCACCCAGCAAGGTTGATCCTTGCAGAGCGGTGAGGCTGCTCCCAAGCCTCAGCAGCCAGCACTTCGCTGCAGGTGGCAGGCTTGGTCTGGCAGAGGACTGGGAGATCTCTGTGTAGGCAGCCCAGGTTTATTAGAGAACTTGTTAAATTCCAATGACTGGCATACAAAGATAAGCTGCACTGCCTTCTGAAAGGCAGAGGTGTTTCTGACCCATAGAAACTGATACAGGTTACTGAGACATCAGTGACCACAGCAGGTGTGACAATAAAATGATCACCTTGCAGTTAACCTTAGCGGAGTCCCAGTTTCCTTCTACCTCGTACATCCAATAGGATGTGTACATTGTGCCAGCACGTAACTACCACCTCTGGCCTGTAGCCTCGCTGCCTTTCCTCCGCAATGTCGCCGTCTGTCTCAGCAGCATCTCCTCTGTTCCCGTTCCATCACAGGAGCTCTCCCCTCCCTTGTTTGCCATGTTTACACATCCAAAGCAACACATGTCTATGGAACATTTCTAAATTCAACACCAGGCTGCTCTCATCTGTAACCAGATGGGGGGATAAGAAGGTGCAGAACTCAAAATCTGTTTTTAGACCTTGAAACTAAAATTAAAAAGAAAAGGAAAACAAAAAAAAGCAGTGTTCATTTCTCATGGAGAATTCAAACCCTTCACCGGCATGTTCCTAGGAATGTTTTTATGCTTGCAACACTGAGCATCACGGGATCATATCCACCGCCACTCCCGGGAGCACCATGGCGTTGTCTGGTCTGTGGGATGAGATGTCATAGGGCTGCACACACCAGTGCTGCTGTCCACATGCTCGTCAGCATGAGGCTGGCTGACAGTCTGAGCACAGGGCAAACCCGGAGGGACGGGGAGGCCGAGGTGCAGGAGCAGACCTCGTAGCCATTTTCTGAGCGGCTCTCGTCATGCTGCCCCGGTTTGGAGCGTGCCCCAGTCCTGCTGCTCCCGGCTGCCTCTGGGGAGTCGGACTGCATGTCGCTGCACACCAGCCAGTCCCTCGCGATGGACTGGGGATAACCAGGCTGGGCCTCCACGTCACTGTCCAGCACTTTCCAGTACTCCTTGCCCCTGAAGAAGTAACTTGCACCTGCGAAAAGACCAAAACCCAAAGGCAAGGTGAGCAGTGATGGGTGCTGTCCCAGTGGAAAGGGCAGAGGAGAACCCCAACCCCAACCCCAACTTAGCCCCCGGGAGTGGAGGCAGATGTGATACCACTGCTTGGAGCCAACAACCTCTCTCACTGCAGGAGCACAGTGGCTGCTGGTAGGATGCTCTAAAAGATAATGTTACACCCAACTGGGATCTCACAGCAGGCAAGAGCCACCAGACAGATGGGAGGTGGATGGTGAGACGGTTCCTCTTCTATGGTGGGTCCTAGAGCAGATGCATCCCCTTAGTACTGATGGTGTGCAGAGTAAAAACCCTAATAAATCCCCAGCTGGACACAACATACTCATCTCAGTGGCTGTCAGTGGACAGTCTTGTAACAGCGCGTGGTAAAGCTGAAGAAGACCTCACCTACCTGTTAAATGACCTAGGGTGCTGCTGCTGTCCCTGGGCTCAGATAAATAACCTGAGCCTGGCAGGGCTCTGGGAACCTTCTGCTCTCAGATGTGTTTTTTCCACTCTGATGTGGGAGGTTGTGAATTCCCAAAGCAGGTCCCACACTCATGGAGGACTCCTACCTATGTGAACGGCTAGTCGCTCTCAACAGCTTCAGGAATTCAGTTTGAAAAGCTTCTGGAAACGTCCCTCCCCTCTGCCTGGTTTATTGGTTGCTATTACACTGTTAGGTGGCTGGTAAATAAAACCTGGAAGTGCCACTTTGCTGTGAGCAAATGGCTGATTTTAAACATCTCCTGTGACAAAATTTTTGTGAGTTTTTTTCAGGGAGAAGAAACCACTGAGAAATCTAATCCCTGGAAAATAAGTCATAACCATGGGAAAACTTCTCCTTTAAAAATATTTTCTGTCCATATCCTCATCCATCTAGCTAAAAATCTAATGACAACAAATTCAGTGAAGAGCAAACCAGCATATATTAGGAAAAAAATCACTGCAAAACAACATCAACTGTGTTCTTTTAATAAAAACAAATTATTGATTGGCCCTCAGGATATTTTTGTTGCCCGCTTGAAATTACAAACTCTTTTAGTGGGCAGTGGGGAGGGCTCTGGCTGGAAGCCTACCTCCCTCTTCAGCTTTCAGACACCGGGAACTGTCATCCCATCTGGGGCTGAGCAGTTTATGTCAGCAAGCACAGAAGAAGGAGCTATAGCTCAAATGCAAATGAAGCACTGATAATTTTTTTAATGTTTTCTGAACCAGACTCACCATCTGACCACCTCATGGCATCATCTAAAGGACTTGGTATTCCCTTCCACAGCATGGTCTCTGAAGGGTACCCGGGATCCATCCTCCGCTCGTGGTCATCATAGCGCCAGTAGAGATTGTCCTTAAAGAAATAAGTCTTGTCATTGTGGGCCCAGGAGAAAGCGGCATCGATTCCTCCAGGTGGCAGACCAAAGTCTGAGATGGGCCGTGGGTATCCTTCCTCCACGTTATTGTCTTTGAAGACCCAGTATCTGTCTCCTGTGGGAAGGAAACAAACACAGAGCAAAATTACATTTGTTTCACAGCTGAAACCAGCATTTCCCCACAGATGAGCTGATGTTTCATTATCTGTTGCCGTGACAGTCCTCAGGACTGAGCTCTTGGCATTGAAGGATGGGGACGGGAAGGCAGCATCCCAGTAGGAAACCTCAGTCTTTGAGTAGTTGCTTTTTTGTGTCAGGCTCTCCATGGAGCACAGCTCTGCTTCACTCCTGAATGGCTGCAGGCGTGACGATCTCGGACACGAATGCACTGACAGCATCAGTACAGTTGTCGCTTTTATGCATTTGGTGGCAGCATTTGCTTTTCTGCCCCTTTGATTTCTGCCTGATATTCAGCTGCAAGAAATAGAACGTTATATGCAGCTTTTGTGGGGAAATAGAGCACTACCTGCCTGCTGTTCAACTCCTGAGAAGCAAAGTATTGTGCCACTTTGGAAGACAAATCACCACACTTTTTAGAGCCAGCCAAGCTGAAGGACCTGTGGATTTTAAGGAATGTAAGGAGGACGCACAAGGGCTGGACAAATCCCATCTGAGCAGCTCAGTGCTCTCCAAGCATCCTACACACTCCAGCCCTACCCTGGGCAGGAAAGAACTGTCACTGTGGGGATTTTTTCTGATAAAAATGAAGCAGGACATGACTGGCCCAGAACAAGAAAATGAACCCAGATCTCTCAAGTCCTGCATAATCCTCTAACCACTGGGATGGTCCTTCTGTTTGTATGATGTCTCTTTGGAAATCTGCAGTGTCCTTTTGGGTATTGACTGAACCTATTTTAAAGATCAGGCTTTTTCCTCTCTTAGTTTTCTAGAAAAATCTGAGGAGGCACTTAAATACATGCCCATGTATCAGCCACAGGACTTTAGAGGCCGGGGTAATTTGTGTGCTTTGGTTTCTGTCCAGGGATCAATGAAACACTGGAGAGAGAGAATGAGACAGTAGTTTATATCTGGAAAGAAAACCTTGAGTTTAATCTTAGGAGCGTGGCAGAGCTAACCTGTAGATCGTGTGTGACCATGGACCACTGTGTCTTGCAGGGCAAGACCCCAGCTGTGGCACAGCTGTAATTTTGGCCTTACAAGCCAGATGCAGTCAGGAGAAGTCCCTGGACCTGACAAGTGGCAGGTCTGTCCATCCACAGCAGGGAGAGAAGGGAAGGAAGGGAGTGAGTGCCGCTGTGGTCTGCAGACCTGACTGGGAGGGTCTGGTGCCAGGTGTAAGGGCTGCTGTGCTCCAGCTGGCCCTGTTCCCTGCGGATTAGAACGGCTGCATGGGGTGGGCTGCCTGGAGCAGGTTTTTTGTGCTGTTCCCTGGGGAGATGCAGGGCTTGGGTAGCCTGGAAGGGCAGTGGCTGCACTTGGAAACACTTCTGCGAGCGCAGAGGCTTGCACAGGATGTAACCCATTCTCCAACCTTGGTGGAGGAACTAAAACCAAATCATTGCTTGCAGAAGTGCTTGGTTCAGCACTTCTGAAACTGATAATTGCACCAGGCTTGGAGCAGAATGGTGGGGAGACAAACAGCAATTTCCAGCTGGGGAGCATGAAGGGCTGGGATGTATTTAGCTCTTCAAGCACACAACCTTTCTGAAACAGGAGCTGGTGGCTGCCAGGGGCTTGGGTGACTTTGAGTGCATGGATAACATCTAACCAGCATGGATGGATGGTCTGATGATTACAAAAACTTATTTTAAGAAAAAAAAAAAAAGTAACAAATATCATTAGTAAAACCAAACTCCAGGTTTTCATTTTTGTCCTCTCTGCAGCTTCTTCGCTTCTCAGCAACAAATACTAAAGAGAGAAGAAGCCAAAGAAGGAACACAAAACCCATGAAGTGTGTGCATAGGTGGTTCCTGCTCTTATTTTGCTCTTGAAAAGAAAAGATTTCAGTCAGGTTTGGCTGAACTTTTTCTCCAATGCTCCCCTTGTTTGCTGGGGAACACGTCTGCTACTTTTGGCCTGCCCTCCCTATGAACTGGTTTCTCCTGGCCTCATGCATGGACAGCAGATCTTGGACCTGCCCTGGGAGATGCTCAACGACTGATGCTGGTGTCTCCTGCCTGCAGAAGAGGTCAAAATGCTGCCAAGGTACCTTGGCACCAGGCTGTACACCGAGGAGACACACATGCTGCCTCCAGCACTGCCTTCACCCTCACCTTTGAAGAAGACGATCTTGTGGTCGCTGGTTCTCTCATAGACCGCGTCCAGGCTGTCCAGGTTGAGCGGCAAGCCTCGCCAGAAACGGTGGATCTGAGCCGGCTGGAGGGAGACCAAGTGCTTATTGCGAGTCAGTCTCCAGAAGTACTTGCCTGGAGGAACAGACTGGACATTACTGAACCACACTGTAACCCACTTTCACCGGGGCAGAGGAGTGCTGGGCATGTGGCAGCAGCAGGAAGCAAAGCACGTGAGATGAGAGCTATGCATCAGAGGCATCCTGCTTTCCAGCAGCAGCTGCTAGCGCTTTCTATTTCTGGCTGTCATTAGAAGAAATCCCCTTTTTGGGATCAAAATAACACTCTGGACATTCCACTGGAGTTGTTGTACTCCTGGCCGTGGTGTGAAGCTGCACTGCTGAGCTGGAGCAGGTGAAAGGAGCCTTTCATCTCCTCCCTTGCTGCTCTGCATGGGACCTCCTGGGAGCTGGTGGGACCAGGCAGTGGCTGATGCTACACCAGGCACCAGCAGCCTTCCTTTAGTGAGAGCTTCTGAAGAAACATGCCTGTTTCTCCTCTCCTGGAGCACCCGCAGCTTCCTGCACACAGGGTGCCCAGCTGCTTCCATCTTTAGAAATGTCTATGATGTTACAATGAAACATGGCAATATCAGAAGGATTTTTTAATCAAGAAAGGGAGTAAGAGAAAGGAGGAAGAAACTAATAAAACTGGAAGGGGTTGGGAGGGGGAAGGAGGCACAGTTAAGGAGTTTGGTACCATCTCAAGGCATTGGGTTAGCAGGGGACATCAGTCCTGCAGTGACAAATGTCCCAGGGGTGTAAGCAGACACACTGCCAGCACCTGCAGCAATGCTGCCCCAGCTAGAAATGAGTTTGGTTGGGGCATTTCTGAAATATTTTGGGTAATGGAAAAAGAAATGGGTTTGTCTCTTGTGGGAAGGATTCCAAACTTGCTCCTTCTGAAGGAGCCTGATGTGAAATTTCCCGAGGAGTCGGAATGATTTCAGGGGCAACTCAAAACCTGACTCTCTGCAATGTCTCTGGGATTTTCAGCCTGAGTTTTTGCACTGCTGTGTTTTCCCTGGAGAGCTCCACACAGCGAGATCTGAGCCGGAGATCTCTAAGAACCAACTCTCAACTTGGTCTTATATTTGTTACTGCCTGTTAGAAATGATTGCGTGTTATTTACCACTGCTCTTGCATGGATTCCCAAGGGGGGATAAGCAAAGGAAACCAAAGATGCATTTTCAGATTTGTATTCACGACACAGCCCTTTCTCCAGAGCCAGCAGATTGTGACACTGTCCTTTAAAATTTTATGGAAATTGGATCTTAGCCTAATAATGCAGGAGGCGAAAGTCTAACACTTAAACATCTGCAGAGAAGAGGTTTTATTCTAATTATAAGGATTTATATAATATTCTTGTTCTTCTGCTCCAGTTTGCGTATTTGCTCTATCTGACTGAAACTCACAAATGAATAATACATTCAGATGTGGTAGGAATTGCCATAATTACAGATTCTTTTTAAGAACATTAAAAAAAAAAAAAGAGGATTAAAATTTGGTGACCATTGTACATCGATGGAAACACATGTGATTAAATAAAGATGGTCTCTGCATCTCTAATTAGCGAGGCACTAGACAAAGCCAGATTTTTACTTTTTTAACAAAAAATACAGCTCCACATAATTCTTTCTTTAGTAGATTAGTAACTGAACTTCAGAGTGCCCTGGGCTCATTTGAGACAAGGAGGGAAGCGCCAGTGCTTTGACATTTCAACCAGCGACGGGCTCAGGGGGTGTGCAACTGCAGCAAGCAAGCTTGAAATCTGCCCTCAAAGTCAGGCGTAGCCTGGGCTGTTTGTTAATTTGGTTGGGTTTTAGAGATGTTGTCAGGAAAAAGCCAAAAAGTATAGCAATTAAGTAGCAAGGAGTTCTTAATGTGACATCTCCAGTCTGCCCATGCTCGTGTTTTGTTACGGCCAATCCTGCTCACCAAAGTGCTGTGGTTCCTTGGATGATCATCAGCCAAAGCCAGATCCATGGGGGAATTGCTGCCATTAGCAAGCAGAAATATAATAAAATAATAAAAAAAACCCCCCAACTCAACCCCATGTTTGTTTAAAAAGCTTGATTTAAAACCACCTTCTGAGCTGGCAGACTGAGCAGGATGAAAGCCAAGCGTGAAGTCCTGCTGTCCCGAGCGTCTCGTTTTATACAGATGATGGGTTGAGGCAATTGCTTTCTTTAATACCAGGTGATTTTGATCCCAGCTGTGTGCCACACTCTGTGCTTTGTCTGCCTCTTGCAGCCGTGCAGACACACACACAGAGGCCAAAGTTGTTTTAAAACTTCAGGAGTCTGTAGCAAGGCATCTCCATCAAAGCCATTGGAGTTTTGGAAGTGTGGAAAATCCACCATTGCCTTTGATATGACACACCTGGAAGCCCTGGGGAGTTCCAGTCCTGGCATCTTCACACTGGAAGGCCTGCTCTCCAGCTAGGGAACCAGTCAGACCAGCTCAGAACAAAATGTCCATCGATGGAGGGAGCTCATCACTGGAGATCATTAAAATCCTGCCTGAGAGGCCACGTCCCTGCTTCTTTGTGCCCAGGATGCTTTGGTGGCAGCGATGGGGACTCCAAGGGAGGTGCTGGGCTCCAGAAACAGCTGTGCAGCTGGCACCCACTGACACTGTGCTCTTTACATTCACATTTTGGCCCATAATAAATATATCCAAAAATAGACACTGAGATGGATTTATTTTTAGTTTTAATCTTTTTTCTTCTTCTTCCCCCCCCCCCCCCGAAAGACAGCCAGCCATTTATGCTGGACACCAGTTCTTGTCTCTTATTTTCCATTCTTCATTTTCCATTCTTCACTGTAGCTTTTTGGAGCTGGCATCTGAACAAATCCCAGAGGGGAACAGCCTCCATATCGTGCTCCCCCGAGGGTACAGACATCGAATCCTCTGGAGCCCTTTTGCCATCCTTGCCTGTGACCCAAGACTCGCACTGTTATACTCAGATGGGTTATATGTGCCTGGATGCTGCTCCTGATCCCTAAGGGAGATGCTTCTGCTTTCCTGCTGGATGGCTTTGGGGTGGCCAAATGGTGGCCAGGGATGGGAAGAAGTGCCCACTGGGTATTTTTCTATCTTGGAAAGATGGAAAAAGAAAGCCTATGGAGTCCAGCCTAGGGGGGCTCTGTACAGCTCGATGGGATCCTTGTCAACAGCCGGGCACCCTGGGGACGTGCTGCCAGCCAGTGTTTGCTGATGTGGACCCAGATGGCTCTGCAATCACGCGCATGTTGTCTTTGAGGGATGCACAGCAAGTGGCATTAGGGAAGGTGAAGCGTGGGAGGAAGGGAAAGTTGGAAGCATCCAAGAAAAAAAGCAGTGGAGATCTGCTGTTGCTCTACTCATCCTTGGTTCTACCCAGATTTTCACTTTGATAGTGAAAATACCAGACTTCAGATCTTCACTTGGGCAGTGTGGTGCCACAGATGGGACCGTAGCACGAAGTGTCGCGCTGGATTGTCACCAGCCCGGCTGCTTCAGAAGGAAGTGTTAAATCCCAGCTCCCGGGCAGCCACATGGACACACACCTGCCTTGGTGTTAGGACACATCCCTTGTGGGCACCACACCAGCCACGCACTGCGGTGATGTGGGCAGGTGGGTTTGGCTCCACTGGTCTCTCCTTCCTAACCACACACCGGACCCCAACCTGCCATTGGCTGTGTGGGCTTCTCCTCTGCTGAGCCATTTCCTTCTGCACCAGAGGCAGGATTCGTGTGGGCGTTAAAACTTCCTTCTCATCCGTCCTCAGCCTTGGTGGGCTGATTTAAGGTCTAAGCCCTTTGATTTGAGCCAAAAGGAGTCAGCAGCATGTGAAACGCCTGCCTGGGTCTGTGAGCCCTGCAGCCTGCAAACCCTGAGCCAGCTTATCCTTATTGCCCACCCCAGCCTGTCCAACATTGCTGCTGCAGCGTCGTGCTGTCACACCAGGTATGCGCTTACCTTTGAAGAAAAAAGCCTCTCCCCTGATCTGGGCCACCGCATCAAAGTGAGTGTTGCATCTGTTGGGCACATCCCGCCTGAGCCTGTGGAGAGATGCCCAGGTGAGTCCTCCCCAGCATCCCACAGACCATATCTCCTCTGCCTCCAGCAGAAGACCACAGGCTGCATCTATTTGTTGTTCCTCATGCTCAAACCCAGCCACGTGCATGGGGATTTCCAAGGTGATCTTGGGCAACCCTTAGCCTGAAGACTGCTTTGTGGCAGACATGCTCCCTGGGCCACTGGAGACCATCACTAGGAGTCAAGCAAGGACATGCTCTACATCTACAAGCTAGCATAACTGATGAGAGCAGAGCTGCCTTCCCCCTCCCTGGTGGCAAAGCACAGCTCAGCTGGCTGCCCCTGGCCAGCAGGACACATGGTGGATAAAAGCCAAGCAGCACCTCGCTCCAACGACTGACGATGCTGCTGCTCCAAGGCTGAGCTCTGAAATACCAGTGAGAGGTGACGGAGATGCAATGCAGAAAACAGATGAGACCAAACACAGGGAGATGATGCCACATGTAAGACAATGCCATGTGATATGTGGTGAAAGCCACCTGGCAAGTCGCAGCTGAGATACGGAGCTGCTCTTAACAAGGTAGGTGGGAAAGGCACAGAGTATGAAGGACCAAAAGCGCTACGAAGCCAGTGTGAGAAATGATGATTGATGGAGGACAAGGAGAGGATGTTGGGAACATGCACAGAGAAGCCGGTGTGGGTGACAGGGAAACATAAATTTAATTTGCTGATAGAAGAGCTGTGCTGGGCTGCCAGCACCAGTTTCACAGCCCACAAAGTGACAGATGTGGGGGTGAGCCCTGTCCACCCTCCCAGTCACACACAGGGCAGGAAGAAAGGGTTGGCACAAACAAGTGTCCTGCTCCTTCTACTGCCACTGCAAGACAATGGTCTCCTACAGCAGCAGGGAGAAATGCTCTCCTGTTTCCAGGTCAAAACACAGCCATACAGAGCCTTGTAGACAAACCCCATCAGAAGCTACATTGGAAAAAAGATAACTAATGGCATTCAGCGTGTTCAAGGAAAAGGGTCCCTTAGGACCCTCACAGCCTTTCTGCACCGTTGGGACACCTCCACCAAGAGCAGGTGCTCAGCACCTCTGTGCTGCAGGCATCACACTAAGCAGAGCGAAGTGGGGTGAAGAAGGTGCTGAAGTGGGAAAAGTAACCTCAGCACAGGGACATTTTTTTCAATATTAGATTCTTCTTGAGCCCATTCCTGTAGGAATGATCTGATTGCTCATGTCTCAATGCTTTTATCCCCTCTTTGCAGATGGGGCATTGAGGCACAGAGAAATGAAGTTACCTCCTCAAGGTCACACCCCAGATGGGAGCAGACCAGGAGGTGAAGGTGACCTGCTCCATCTCTGCTGCTCTCACTTGGGGTGCTCCTGGTATCTGGCAAAAACGTGACCATGAACTCCTGCCTTTTTTATTTAGTGTCCCTTCCTCTTTTCAACTGTCCTGCTGCCCTGGTAGTAAAACAACTTGGTAACTCCAACGTTTATTAATGAGCTGGATCCAGAACTCCCTTAATGAAGGCACGCTGGTTGCTTGATGACACTCGGTGCAAGCAGTCCCTTGCCAACTCAAACCTGCGTTGGAGTCAGGCTATCAGTCCACTTGCTCCAATATTCTCCCCCACAGGTACATTAGGGAGTCGCTCACCGTGGAAGGATTGAGGTAAGTTATGCTTGCACAATTCAGGACACTGCAGAGGAAGTTTGATTAAAATTTCAGCAAGGATGAGTTCACCTAAGGGTGATAGGGACAAATTTCCATTAACCTGAGTACAATTTTGAATCTTAGGGAAATGCAAATCATTCCAAGATGATACAGAATTTCGGGACATGCCTTGAATGATAAAAGTTAGCTAAGAGATAAATAGAAACTCTCACTTGTTCCTGCTCTTAACCACTTCTGCTGTGGGCTGGCTGGCCAGTCTCCTCACATACTGCTTGAAAAAAGCAACAGCATACCCAGGAGATGATCAGGAGATGTGAAGAAGTGTGTGTGTGTGTGTGTGTTTTCCAGAAGACAAGAGGTCCAGAGGGAAATATCAAAGCCAGAGAGAGCCGGCAAGCAAGATATTGATGCTTAAGTGGAGCTTCGCTAATACATGTCCTTTGCAGGAACATCAACGACAGCTGAAAAGAAATGAACTCGACTTACGGGACAGTGGAGCGGTTCTCTGGCAGCTCTGGCAGGATAGGATGGTCATCAGTTTTGCTTACTTCAGGCTTGGCTGTGGGGGACACAGATTCCCTGACTCCTATGTATGAAGACAAAGAAGCAGTAGAGGGGTACACCATCCTCCCCACCAGCTCCATTCACCCCAGAAAATAGCTATTCCTGTGCACCCCACAGCAGAAATGGGCTGTAGCTGGGTGAGGGACACAAACTTACCGTAGAGTTGCCAGATTCGGACTTTGTCCTCATAAGGTAGATCATATTTCAGAGGATCCCCCACTGGACCTTGGTAGTAGGGTCTCATGATAGACTCTATGGCAGAGATGTGGGTCAAGCCAATGGCATGGCCAAACTCATGGACAGCTACAGCAAATAGGTCCATCCCATGAGCATCTGGAAATAAAGACAAAATTGAAATAAAAGTCACTGCCTGCTGATTGTATTTTGGGGATCTGGGTGGGCTGTAAGGGCTGTCAGAGAAGGTAAAGGTACATGTTGGATAAGCTGGAAAGAAAAGCTTTGGAACAGGTGAAGTTTGAGACAGAAATTTTTCTCCAGTTGGAAAAAGAAGACTGAAGTCTATTATATGAAAATGGAAAGCAAGCCAGACATCAGCCCACAGTGGGAGTCCTCAGCCCCATACAAGCCTGGGGATCATCCCACTTATTCCCAGACCACTGATGGCACCCGAGAAAGAGCTGGATAAACAGTTTAGACAGCAAACTCTGCACAACCACCCATCATCCCCGCTGACCAGAGCTGCAGGAGCTGGGCCAGAGCAGTCATCTCCCGTACATCATGTCTGCCCTGCAGCAGCTGCAAGCACAGTCTTTGTGATGCCCAGAATACCAAACTTCTACTGCCAGCCAGAAGCTCACCAACACCTGCAATAATGGGTAAAGCCACCCGGCTTGAGGTGTTGGAGGGGATATTTTTGCTGATTTCTGCTGTTTCCTCGATGACTGTTATTTACAGTGTCTGCAAACAGCCAGGATTTTTATAACCTGTGCTGGTTTTCTCCAGCACTAGGAAAGAACAAGACATATGCTTTCTGACATTTTAATGCCAAACTGACAACCTTGGGGATATTTTTATATCACCTACCAAGTTGTTATTTTTGAATCACTAGGGAGAAAAAAATAAATAAAAGATGAAGTTCAGATAGCTCCAAGACCTTCAAAATAGAGGGCAGCTTTCTTGCTGTCAGGCTCATCCCCTCATCCCTCAGCGATGCTTGGAGGGAATCTCCCTGTGGGGCTGCCAGCCCTGAGCCTGCTCCTCCACCTGAGCCTGTTTCACCATGTGTGTTCCCAATCACCAGCTACAAAAGATGCACCACTCCTTTCTTCATCACGTAACACGTCTGCTACCTATGTTGTCAGAGCAGAGCTTCTGCTTTTTTTTCTGTCCCAGAAGACATCAGCTGAGGTTGCACAGCAGCATGAACTAATGAATCCTAAAGAATCAGCCTGTCCAGACCTTTAGCCTTAACCCCAGACCTCTTCCAGCACATTTGGGGAACACTCCTGCCCACAAACACTCAGCAGGGATGGACGGAGGTCAACTGGTGGGAAGGGAGGAGAAGGGTGGGGAGAAAGAATGTATTAGTTGGTTTCAGAGAAGACAATTAGGTCTAAACAAAATCATTAAGCTGAGGCAGCAGGAGCCTACAGGGAGGCTGGCAGAGGAGGTGGCGTGACAAGTAAATTAGCAGCTGGTGACTGCAGAGGAGACACTCTGTGAAAACACACCCAACACAAAGGTTGGGGACCTGATCCCCACAGATGGCTCACACAGCTGAGGCACACTCGCTTCTGAAAGGCCCACTGCTTATTAGCACTCTGTTCTGGACAAAAGAGATTAAATAAAAGAAAAACACCATAACTTATAACTGTCCTGAGGTCAGATAATGGACATGAGATGACAGAAAAAAATCTAGTGTCCAGAGGGGGCTTTTTCCCAGCAGACCACAGAGCCCTTTCCAGGCAGGTCAGCTAATAAATATGCTTTAAAAATAGGAAACCAGGGCATGTGGCAATGAAACCACCAAAACATAACAAAGTCAGAGAACACAGTCCCCATCCAAGAGCTCTAACAGCCACACACCTGAACTGTGACCTTCCAGGTGCCAGAAGAGATAGGGACTGGGGTGGGCAATGGGGAGATCTACAACTGACTGATGGGGAGAAACAAGGAGATATAATTGAGGCTTCCAGGAACATAGAAGGTCCTAGACATTGGCTGCTATTGTTTCACTAGCAAGGCTGAATGGGGAACCAGAAGAAGGTGTTGGGCTCTGCAAGCCCAGGGTGAAGGTGTAGCAGAGGCTAAACCACTCTAGCCACCAGCACAGAAGAGGGAAGCTGGCAGGACATGCATTTGTCTGCAGATCTCCCACCCTGACATACCTGATGATCGGAAGGTCCAATACTCATCATCATCAAAATGGGTGTCTCCTGCCGTGTGATGGTCTCCAGGGAAGAAAGCATGTGCCACTGTCCCACCAGGTCCATCAAAAGGGTAGCCGTCATTGTGATCTGCCTTGGAGAAGTCTATCTGGATGTCGGCATTGTTACCTGCCACTTCATGGAAATTCAGCGGGGTAATGTCACTCCAGACCTTCAGGGCATAGTACATCAGGGCTCGGACTGTGTCGTGGCCCAGGTGGGACTCTTTTGGGAAGGTCCGAACTCTGAAATAAAGAGGATAAAAAAGAGGATAGGGCAATAGCATGAAAGACCTTCTCCAGGGACCACCAGGAAGAGCTGTGCAGGTGCCTGGTGTGTCGCAGAGCCTTGGTGAGGCCTCCAGAGCTCTTAGCACACCTCCAAAGTGCCCCAACACACTTTATTTAAGTCTATGAATCACTTCTGTTCCAGAGCTATGAGGATTTTGGAGACTGAGTTTGTGTCCTCTGGAAATACTGAGCCAGTCTTGCCCACCAGAGTGTGAAACACCCCATGGGTGTGAAACACAACCAGGATTTGAGTCCTGGTACCTCCTGATGGTGTTGTACCAGGTGGCAGTCAGCCTCAGGGCCACACTTCATGCATGAAGTGCTGCTAATGCCCAGGACTACCACCATGAGTCCCTTTCTTTTTTCAAGCTCCCCTTCAGATCTATCAGCACTTATTTTCTCACCACTTACTTGTTCCAAGTGCAACCCAAATATGCAAAGATGATGGACTTCTGAAGCCTTTGCACCACACACAGGCCGATCAGTTTTCCTGCAACAAGCAGCAGGTCATTCCTCATTCTTATTACAAGCACATGGGAATCCAGTACGGATTTGATGCCTCCATATATTTCCCAGCATGTCTGCTGGAGGTATGAAATATTCTCTGAAACCAGTACACTGCTGACAATCTCCGAGACTACAATCCATAACAAGGATGAAGAGGAAAGGATGTATTTTATGTAAATCACATTCAAAATTCCTCCAGCCTATTGCGTGCAGGAGATGGGCTATCTGATGGAGCACTGTAGTTGAGAAGCTCTTGCCTTGCTTCTTGGTAGAAAGAGCATCGATGAGCAGGGGCTTAGGACACTACTGCACACATCACAGGGCTACCATGGTTTCTCTGTATCAGCACAGAATCCCTTTGTCCCCAACTCTGCCTTGCCCTGGAAGAGAAGCCAGGTGGGACAAGCTGTGTGCTGGTGTTTGCCCTGCAGCTGCGTGATTCAAACCTCCCTTTTGTCCTGAGCCAGAATGAAAAAGAATCAATGGTTCCTGTGTAACCAAACCTTGAAAAAGAATTCCTAATATTGTTGATTTAATAGAGGAGGTGAAAAGGCAAAGATGCAACAAGGTACCTTGGCTTCTGAAAGAGTATGTTTAGATAGTCTTTCATTGACAATTTTGACAAAAACAAACACACTCCAGGAAAATGTACTGTTGACTGAGTAATTATTGACAAAAACCAATTCTGCTGGAAAATTTCTGGCCAGCTCTACCCTGGTAATAATAGATACTTTATTTCTTGTGTATCAGCACACCAGCTAAAGTGTTCATGAAATATTCATGGCTTGACAGATTTTTAAAGGCTAAAGCAACAATTATGATCACCTCACTCACCCTCCTGCATAATATAGCTGGGAGAGCATTGCTCAGTATTACAGCACTCCCCAGCACCAGTGTGAAGTAATGACCCAACTAAACCTTTAGAGATAATTACAGGTGTCAGAAAGGGATGTCACGTCATTCAAGCTCTTCCTAGAAGTAGTGATTTGGGTAGTGAGAGACACCACGGCTCAGCGAAGGGGAGTAGGAACAACTTGCTGACTGAGGTTGGATGCTCTTGCTTTCACAAAGATTTGCATTAATCCCATGTCCTCAGAGACAGGCATCCCAAGGTGCGTACCACCTCCTGCCTGGGAAAAGCTAGTGGGGGTTAAATCCAGGACAGGCCAACAACGGACTCATGAGAACAAGCAGAAATCTCACTGACACTTTCTCTGAAGAGCTCGGGAAGCCCATCTTAGAGATGGGGGGAAATGAGATGGGCAAATCAGGAAAAACACCTCACAGCCAGATCAGCAAAAATCACTTATGTCTACACCTTTGCTATCCCTAAACTATTCTGGGCAAAAAAAGACCTTATCTACTAAACTAAATGAGTTAGCATACATGTAGCATCAGATAATTGTAGAACTTCAAACAAAACACATTTTTAAAGAAGACAGCATGGAGGTACAAACAGTATGAGCACAGGATTAGAAAAGACAATTTTCAGACCATTTTTAATTTATAGAAGAGAATGTGGCTGGATTTAAACCTCTACAGTACAAAAAATATTCTTTAACTAGGTGTCTTCATCTCCCAGAACACTCCTCTGGACTGAGGCAAAGCCTCTGCCGCTTTAATCTCTACTGAACAAGTCATTATACATGTAAAACACACCAGGTTCAGTCCAGAAATTACAGCCTGTCTCCAAGATCATGGTGCCTAAGGCATGGACTCAGTTTTGGGGACATTATCTGCTCTTCCCTCCTCAAGCCCTGCTTGACTGCATGAGCCGCTTTCCTTTCCTTTCCCTCTCTTTCCAGCTGTAGAATGAAGATAATAAATCTGATCTCCCTTGTAAAAGGACAGTGGATGAAAAGCCCTGTCTAAAGACACAAACATTATTAATATCCATCCCAACCCCTGACTCCAGAAACATTAGATTAAGGTAGAAACAGTATCAATACTTATTTTCCTGCTTATAAAGGGTCCTGCACCTCTGAGCTGACCCACATTTTATTAACATGCAGCAGGTGTAAGTGAAAAATCCTCCATCCTTTATTCATTACCACCATTATTTTTCAAAAGAATCCCATCAGGGTTTTTCAATTCGGAGTCTGATTTGATTGCCGGAGCTCTACTAATTGTTTTCAATGAGATTAGGAGAAGACTATTATGCTGATAGGATGTTCATCGGCATTACATTACCCAGTTCCACTGAAAAGGAGGCACATTTCTAACATCATGCAGATGCAGACAGGACTAAATAAGCTTCTTCCTACTTTGATTATTATTATTTGTAGTAAATGGTGCTTAGATACCCAGCGGAGAGCAGCGCTCCTTCTTCTTGGATGTTAATCCCTCCTGAGACTCCCCTGACAGAGCTCCAATCTCAGGCAAAAGCCTGATGTGAGTAATTGGAGAGAAAGCTCTCTCCTCCAGATGGTCCCTGCTAGGCCACCAGGAAGGTGATGAGGACAGGGCTGCTCCATCCCCCCCACCAGGATGCCCTGAGCTGCGAGGTTGGTCACATCCCTCTGCAAAGCCACACGCTGGGACACCCCGAGGAGCATCTGTCCTCTGGCGGATGGGGCTGCGTGAGGCAACGTCAGCTCGTCAATTGAAACAGCGTCTGCTGAGCAGTACGTGGTTCTAAGCGGCACAACGGGGTGCTGAGGAGAACACCTCCACTCTGCTTTTAGGACTCACTCAGGCAGCAGCACTGCCATGCAGACAAAAGAAAGCTGACCTTCACCCAGCTGCTGCCACTCCTTCACGTGTCCCCCAGGTCACCTCCTTTTTTTGTCCCATCCCCAAAAAATTTTGGGTCCAATGGGGGACATGGCTGTCTGCAACCAGCTGGCTTGGTCTGGGAGGTCCCCATGGTGGGATGTCACTGATTAGAGGAGGTAAGCAGGGGGATCAGGTCTGTCGGGATGGGAGCGTGGTACAGGGGGTTACCCTGGTTGCACACTTTTACCCCAAGGTACCTGCCCAGCAGTTGCCCTTCCACACCTCAGTAAATCCAGGTCTCGGCTCGGGCAGTGGGTGGCCTCAGGATGCTCATGGAGATGACGGGCAGTGACTGACAGCCATCACTGCTCCCCTGGGCCTGTGCTCGCTCCAGCTCCGGCACCTCATGTCCTGAGCATCACCGTTTCAGAGACTGCAGCTTTGATGAAGTGGCACCAGGGACTCATCTTTAACTGATGATGGATGAAAGTCAGACGAGTTCAGCACTTGGTTGAGATTTCAGCAAGAAAAAAACTTGAGAAATTTAGAAAGCTGAGCTTTGGCAGCTTCCCCCTGCCCCGGGGAGTTCAAAACAGACAGAGACGGGGCACAGCCCCGACGCTGCATTTCCCAGGACTGCAAGGAGATGGCGAGCGCCTGGGAGGAGATGGAGATGCTGGCTGTGAACTCCTCTTCTGCCGGGCATCACCAGAAGCAATAAAGCAAAATTAGCAAAAGAAAAACCAGGCTGCAAACACAAGAGGGAACTCGCTGCAGGCAGCTCCCGGCTCCGATGCCAGCAGAGGGCAATGGCAGCACACTGTGCCCGCAGCCTGCATCCCACCTCATCAGCTCACCCAGCGCCTTGCTACCTACCTACAATGCAGAAAAAAATTTAAAAATCCCATTAAAAGAAGATTTATATGTTGTAATATCCTGGAAACTTCCCATGGAGATGGGGCACAGAAGACCGTGTGTGTCTGATGCGGTACTGGGATGCTCCCTGAGCCCTCCAGTCCCACAGGCTGGCTCACGTGAAATGTTGAGCCAAATTCTTGTATGAAATGTTGAGCCAAAGGAGATGCATCCCATCTGGGGAAAAGTTTGAAGTAATTGGTTCAGTTTTCCTCCAGGCTAAAAAGAAGAAACCTGAGCAACCTGCGTGCCTGTAGAATTTTGTTTGCCAAACACTGCCTTCTCCATCAGTGCAGGTGCCTATCTTGAGATCCTCCTTTCGTACAGCTTTGCTTACCTGTTTATTCCAGCCTTGCAATTGTTCAGGGTTTTCTTCGATTTTTAAATACATGGCATACTAGAATTTGGTTTTGTTTTCTCCCCCCCCACCCCAATCTTCAATCGATGCCTAAAAGGTAAGTGTGTAAAACTTTATGTCTCCATTGGCAGATTTTCATGGCAGTTTCAAAAAAGCTATTTTAATCTCAAGTGCTGGATGTAAATACTGTGTTGGAGTTTCTGTAATGCTATAGCCTTCTGTTGGCTTATACAATCTCTGGTTATAAAATACAACCCTTTCTTGAACAAAAGCCAAGATCTTGGAAAAGATCAAAGAATAAAAAGCAGAAATGAGTTTGTCAGGAGATGGATTTTTTTATGTTATACATATAAAATCGTCTAAGACCTAACCCCCCTTTTTTATGGCACTCTTTGCTGCAGCATCACAGTATCCAAGGGATTGTGGGGGGGTATCCTGGGGCTGCATCCACCAGAACAGCCTGACCCCACTCTCTCCCAACACTTTGCTCCAGCCTGGGACTGGGGACATTGTGCCAGCACGGCCACGGTGCTGGTGGTACCTGCAGCCCTGGGCTCCTGACCATGCTGGCCGGCCACCCCACCATCCAGCCACTGTGCCTGCCCCATCACGGGGCGTAGCTCAGGTTTGTCCAACCCAGTTTTGCTCAGAGGAGCTGCTGAGGTCAGGGCTTGAGCCATCCCCCCTGCACTGGCTCTGGCAGCTCACAGGACATCAGGGCAGTTTTTATTGTTTCACCCAAAAGGATTTTTTCCTCTCTGAAAGATGAATTTTATTCCTCTTACCCATCAAGACGGTGCTGGTCGACAAGGGACAGACTGAGCTTTTATAACATGCAACACTTCACTATGAGAAGCTGTCCAGGAGCCAAAATTGTTTCTTACTGAAGCTGAATTACGTTTATCTTTTCTGAAAATAAGGTCTCAGAAGGATGTGCTGGAATATGGACCAAATCCCTGGTAATCCCACAGTTTCAACTTGTGTCAACAGTGACAGCCAAGTCGATTTGTTACTGCAGTGGGAGGTGGACTTGCTCTAGGGACTATGTCAGGATCAAAGAGAAGCTTATTATTAATAAGGAGATCTCTCCATAGCATCCCCATATGTTTTCAGGATAGTACGAGCACCTCGTGGTACTCACCTTTCTTGGAGGAACAATCACTGCAGCACATAGTCTTTGGGAGAGGAAAAAGGAGTCCCAAAATGCACAAGTCCTGGTAGGACAGAGATCAGCTTGTATTCCAGCCCTGACCTGCAGTGGGACTGCAGGGTTGCTGGAAGTTGGACCTGAACTTCTGTGAGTCGCAGGTTCAGAGCGACCCCCACACACCACTCCCTGATGGCAAGGACTAGGAGAAAGAAAGTGACTCTATTACCCAGAAAATACTCCCAACCCTTGGGCTCAGGTGGGACAAGAGAAGAAGCCCATCTGTGGTGAGCCAAGACTGTGGCAGCTGCTTGAGAAAGCACAAAATCCCACTGAGCTCAAGAGGAACGATGCTCTAACCATTGCAACACAGAAAAAACCTCCCAGCTAATCCACTGGCCACATCCACACCATTCCCAACCAGCAGCCGAGCAGGTCCAAGGCTGAGATCAGTAGAAGAGTTAAACAACTAGTCTGTGCGGTTTTGGGAGCAGGGGGACACCTTGTAACACATCACCCTGAAACTCATCACAAAGCTGTATTTACCCCAGCTCTGGATGGTATCAGCCCTTCGCTGGGACATTCTGGTGGGGGAGGATGAATCCCTACCTCCAAGATAAGTTCCTTTTGCTCCACTTGGTGACAGCCTGTGTGTGTCGCTTCCTCCGGCTCTCCACGCCAGCAAGGTCGGGCAGAGAGCAGCGGGGGGTCTTCATCAGCTCCAGCGTGGCTTCGTCTAGGGTCAGAAAAATATAATAGAAATTATGGGAATGGTGGGTTAAGAAATCCCAGAGAGGACAGGAAGCAGGGAAGTGCTGAGGATGCAGCAGAGGAGCGAAAAGCAGCACCTGGGAGCCACTGTGACATGGTCCTGGTCCCAGCATCACCCGTGGTGTCACCCATGGGGCACTGAACCCCTCCATGCCAAGGCTGCACCCACCAAGAGCAGCAATTCCTGCT